TTATAGTAATAGAAAAAGAGGCTGGGATACAGAATCGATGACTTAAATTACTCCGATCTTAAATCGATTCTTAATGATATCTATAAAAGAATCAAAAAAGAATTTGAGAAGTACGAAAAGTAGAGATTTCGTAAAGACACTATATTAGAGAAAAACATTCCTAGGTTTGATAAAGTCTATAACTATTAGTACTTTTACTCTGAATTTATTAAACTAATATAAGTATAGATAGTTATTTATAGTTATAATACTATAACTGTTGAAACACGTGACTATGGGCGTGACATTACATGTCATGCTTTACTCTATATACGTACTCCGTATATAAGTAGAATAGGTATACATATATAAATAACAAGTCCCTTTTTATATAAAGAGGGCAGATAGAATAAAACAAACCTCTTTTACTCTTATACTTCGTATATACACCTTATTAAGTCTACTTAATAATAACGTATATATAGAGGACTTATATTAACTTCTTTAGTTTCATTATAGATATATATTATTCTTTCGAATTAAATTAAATATATAATATTATACTCGACGAAATAATTAAAGATGTATAACGTAATTCATTAGTATATAGGTTATATTATTATATAGACGACTTTATTTTATATATAAAATTCGTCTATATGTAATCGTATACTTTCTTTATTAACTAATAGCATTATTTTAAAATTTTCTATATTAAAGCTAATTTTTTACTTCTTTTAAAAATCTAAAACTTTTTCTATTAAGTAGACTTAATAAGATGTATATATAAAGCGTATAGAATTAAAAGATATTATAATTCTATCTACTCTTTTTATACGAAGAGGAACTTACTATTTATATATATATAATTACTTTACTTATATACTTCATTTATATATGAGATAAAGCGTGACATATAGTATTACGTCTCTAGTTACGTATTTCAACATTTTCAAAAGTTTTAATTATTACTAAAGTTATTAAAGGAAAGGAGTATTTGTAATATAAAGTATAATAATTTCGAGCTAAAATTAACTAGTTAAAAAGAAACCTAAATAATATAAATATTTCATTTTTATTATTATTTTTCATGATTTTCTCTTTTAAAAATAATAATTAATTATTAAAATACTCGGGGCCTGCGAGCCCTCGAACCTCTTACTTTTTGAGAAAGTATAATATAATAATTTTTATTATGAAAATTTGAAAAGAAATTTATTAAATACTTATAAGCGAAGTCGATCCTCTATTGAATTGTAATTAATTTTTATAACTTTTATAGTTTTATAATTTCTATAATTTTTATAATTTTGATAATTTTGATAATTTTGATAATTTGATTATAATAACTTTTCTTTTTAAATCTTAATTTAACTTAATTATTTTGAATTATGTTTTATTATATAATATTTATGAGTTACATTTCACTTTTTTTCATTTGAATTAATAATTATATCATTATACTATGAAATCTCTAAGTATTAAATAATTTTATTAGTATAAACCTTATTATACGTAATATATTCCCATTTATATTAACTATATAAACTTTAAAAGTCTTAAAAGAATATAACTTTATGTTACGGGAGCTGCCTCTAGGGTCACGTGGAAGTGTCTAGAGATCTCTCGAGGTGGTTTAGACTAGACTTCAAGTAGGAATTCAATAAGGTTGTAACTGGTTGCAATTCTCGTAACTATAGTAATGAAACTAATGATTGTTCTTGAGCACGAAGCTCTACATTATAATGAAACCCATTCCCTTATATAGATTTTCGTACCTTATGAATCGACAAGTCGATTACCGTAAAGCCGATTTCGACAAGTCGGTTTCCTGATCACGTGATGTCCATCCCGTGACTGGTAATGATGCCACCGCTTATCTAACCTGTGCTCTCTAGCCGACCTGTGACTGCTGCTTACCCTGTGCCCACTGTAGGGTAGGTAACAACAAAAGATAGGTACCTATCTTTTAATCACTGATTACTTATCTGGTTACCGCTATCTTTCGTTACCCTTCAATTCAACTGTCCCTACAGTGCTGTTTTCGTAGGTTCCAACACCAAGGCCTTAGGTTTATCTTATAATCCATGTTGCGGTGCGGGTACCTCCGTAACATTTTAATTAGTACTTTTAATTCAATCAATTAATTTCATTACTATTATAAAGCCTACTCTAAAAATAATTATAACATTGGAAAGTCTGTAATCGTTTTAATTTAACTACTTCTTTCTCAATCGTTTCATTAATTCATTTAAAGATTATATATTAAATTGAAATAGTTTTATAAATATTTAGCTTTCTTTTCAACTAAAACAACTCTATCCTAATATTAATAATACTTATAATTAATTAAAAGGGGTTTTATAAATATAAAAAACACAAAAATGGTTTGCTATATATTTACTTATGATTATATAATATAACTAGAGTATATATTCACTTAGTTTGCTTCTACAAATGTATTATTTATACTTATTTGTAATAGAAATAATAATAGAAATAATAATAAATAAAGTAATCAAGAATTAAACATCTGTTTTATATGATTATAAAATCTACACTTAAAACTAACGATCTACACTAAAGAGTTGAATTTTGTTACTATTTATTCTGAAAAGACATCATAATATAACATCTTAAAGCTAATCTATATAATACTCTATCTAAAGAGAACTACAAGAGTGGAGTATAATTTATCTTTAGAATCTATGATTATAAAATAGGAGACAAAACGCTTACAGAGTATCCTCATATACTCGCTATATATATAACTATACATATATGTGAATACATATATAAGCAATTGCATTGCGATTCGGTACGATTTGTAACAACCTAGACGCAAATGGGGCGCGGGGGAGCTTCACATAAATACAGGAACTACCCTGCAACTTACATCGTGACATCGGCTTTGAATATTTGGCAATCTGTGAATGCAGATCCAAATTCCGGTCGAATTAAGCTTTTGAAGCTTTCAAAAGAGGGTAATGAACATGATGTCCATAATAGGAACTCATCGTTTGCAATACCACCAGACACAGGCTCTGCCGCCGTAATCTATTTCCCAACCTGCTCAAGTTGTCTACGCGATAGCGAATGGATAAGACATCTTCTCACTTGAGCTTTATCTAACAAGTTGCCGTGCTCGAAGAAGGGCGTGCCGTGGCTTTAGGTTCTCTAGGTAAGATTCTAGATTCGAACTGTACGGTAAAGTGTTGTAAATTTGAGTGAATCTCCTAGCTCACGCAAAGCTTTCAAGGTATAACACTACGCACTTTTCAAGCCTTGCGTCAGGGTGTTGAAGAGGGAACGAATATTCATGTCTCAAGCACATTTTCAACAAGAAATCGCAAAGAGGCTTGAAGACTGTTTTGATTTAAAGAGAAGCAAAATATCCAAGAACATCTTGAGCCATACTAATATAATCAAAACTACTACTAAACCTCATCTCCATCAGGATTAGGGGAAAAAAGTAAAGTTTTGCTCATAACAGTACACTTTTTGCCACCGCTTCAGTCATTCAAATTCAAAACCAAGTAGCATTACCTTTGTCGCCAGAGTCCGCAAACCAGGTTAGGTCTGCAATCGCCACGAGAGCTGGTAATACGTCTTTAGTAAAGGGATTAAAAATTACAAGAATCAACAATCATTATCTAATCTAAACTATTGCGGATTAAATAACTTATAAGAAATTAGGTACTATAAATTAATTAGTATAATAGTGTATAAACTCCTATATAGTACATATGTTATATATCGCTTACTTGTAACTCTATCAAGATAATATACTCTCTACCGGGAAACTACCATATACTCTGCTGTATAGTTTATAGATTAGATGAAAGGGTCTAGGAGAGAAGAGAAATGGTCAAGTGATTTGTGATGAGAGGGCAGCATCAATATCGATACTGAATTACGATGAATTGTGGTTCAAGGTTCGAAAAAGACGAAGAAGTGATCCGAGGGGGATAGGGGAGTGTGGATTTGAGGAAGTGATGAAAGAGTCAGAGGACTAGACAAAGCGAGGTATTCCGGCAGAAAGGTTGTGGGCTGGTGGAGAAGGGGGTTTTGGATGAGAATATTGGGGTGGGGGTGGATAAATCCATGGATTGATGGCTGTTATTTTGATGTTTGATTAATGGTGGGAATTAGGAGTTGTGTACGATGGATTTCAAAAGAATTTTGACTTCATTAATATACTGGATATTGTTTTGCTAGCTTTGCCTTTTGCTTTTTGCCCTGTTTTGCTTGTGCTATTAAGCATATGAATTTTTATCGATTATATAGATCTATATAGAAAGTTGATATAAATCAGATACATTGAGATTTACTAGTAAAATAAGCGAAAATCAAGGAGTTTTTTCAATATCTAATTTAATTACATAAATAAGTATGATAAATAGCGTGGTTCATTAGTATATAAGTCAAATTATTATGAGTTACTTCATTTTATATATAAAATTTCGTTTATATGTAATTATACACTTTCTTTATTAATTAAAAGAGTTTTCTAGAAACTTTTTATATAAAACCAAATTTTTTTAGCTTTTTTAAAAATCTAATTTTTTTAAAAAAATTCAATTATTATTAAAGTTATTTAAAAAAAGAGTTTTTGTGTCAGAAAGTATAGCAATTTCGAATTAAAATGAATTATTAAAAAAAACCTAAATATTATAAATATTTTATTTTTATTATAAACTTTTATAATTTTTTCTTTTAAAAATAATAATTAATCATAGAAATATAAATATCAAGAAAACCTTGATTTCAATATATTTTCGAAGTGGCTCATATACTGATATAACTCATATACTAATGAACTACGTTAGATTAAAAAACGAAAGAATTATATTTTAATTCTTTATTATATAATAAATACTTGTTTAGATTTTCAATTAATTATATCGATTTGGAATATTTACTCTTATATTTTTATAAAGAGGGCAAAATGACCGTTTTTAGTGTGATTCTTAGAACCGACAAACAGCTGTACACGGTTACTATAGGTGTTTAATGGGGTTAATATAGTTAACTTTATTCATACCGGCTTACATAAAACTCGTGTCTCACTTATTTAAATCCTACATAAATTATCATATCATATCTCTCTTCCTCAATCCCTAATCCATAAATGTCACTGTCTTCGTCCTGACCCACTCCTCCAATCCAAGCGATCCAAATCGTCCAAATCCACTATTCTTCATGCCTCCATGCGGCAGTCCCGCTTCGTCATGTACACTCCCGTTATGCCCATTGATATGCACGGCACCGCTTTCCACCGCTTTCGCAATACGCAATCCCCGCTGTAGATCCTGGGTGTAAATGCCTGCTGCGAGCCCGTAGTCGGTATCGTTGGAGATACGGATCGCTTCTTCTTCGGTAGAAATTTCAATCACCGAGACGGTGGGGCCGAAAGATTCTTCGCGGTATATGGACATGGAGGGGTTAACGGATTTAAGGATTACGGGGGACATCTTAGTGGTGGGGGAGGAATCGCTCGGCGGTGTGCCGTGGAGAATAGATCCGCCTTTGGAGAGTGAATCGGAGATTAAAGATGCGTTTTTAGAGACGCCTTGGGAGTTGATGAGGGGCACTAGTGAAGGGAACATCTCTGCAGTAGCGGCTGCTAATTCTTTTTCGCTACATGGTTTGTTAGTTTTGTTTTGTGCTTTCGTTGTCTTCTGCTTGTTGAGCAGAACAAGAACGACGAGATAAGTGGAAAAGGAAATGAAGCAGAAAAACTTACAATTCAGCTGCGACATTTTTGTGCACAAGAATTCTTTCTGTACTCATACAGATTTGACCCGAATGTAAGAAAGCCCCCTTTGCACACTCCACAGCTGCTAATTTCAAATCCGCATCTTCCCAAACAATCACACTAGCTTTACCACCCAACTCCAACACCACAGGTTTGAGATTCTTTCCCGCCAATTCTCCATAGACCTTTCCTACCCTGGTGCTACCCGTAAAATTAATCTTCTTAATGATCGGGCTCTCAATCAATTGTGCCGTTCTCGCCGGAGCATCTTCACTTGAAATTGCTACGTATGTTAAGACACCTTTAGGTAACCCAGCCTTGTGCAAGATATCACAGATATGCCAACTGCACATTGGTGAAAACTCTGGTGCTTTGAGAATTGCGCAATTACCAGCTGCGAGTGCGTAGGTGACGCTTCGGAATCCGAGAATGTAGGGAGCATTCCAGGGTGCAGCACCGAGGATAACTCCATAAGGTTCTTTGTAGACAAGTGCACTTCGACCCTCCTCCGACGTCATGGGGATACTACCCGCGATGGAAGTGATACGGCCGGCAACATCGAGAAGTCCTTCTCGAGCAAGATGAGTATTGAATCCGGCCCAAACAGGGTCTGCGCCGGTTTCTTTGATCATGGTTTCTTCGAGGGTAGACTTTTGTCCGAGCATTATCTCGGCTGCTCGGAGAAAGATATCGCGTTTTTGGGGTGGCGGTAATCTGCTCCATGCTGGGTAGGCCTTCTGAGCTGTATCCAAAGCAAGGTCGATATCAGATGCAGATGCAGATACACAATTGTGAAGGTGTGAATTATCTGATGGTGAATAGACGGGGAAAGTTCTGCTGGATTGATGAGGTTCATTGTTGATAATGAGGGGTATTGTGTGAGTTGAAGTTGAGGATGATACTGCATCTTTGGATGATACCTTGGCTGTGGTGCCAATGGCTTCAGTGGCGGAAGGAGACATAATTTTTGTGAATATAATAATCAGATTTGTATAACTTATGGCAAGAAGATTATGGTATGGTGGAAGCAAGAAATTAAACGAAAGCAAATGCACTGTGCTTTTGTAGCCTTTGGTAGAAGGTTTGATCGATGGAAATATTCATTACATAAGCCAAATCAAGAAACAATACGCAACTTATTAGTAGCTCTGGGATCAAGTCTGTAGATTGTGGGGTCTTGCTTCCAAGTTGATGATTCTATGATTCTAGGGTAGGCAGCTAGACAAGCAAGGAACAGCGGAACAATTGGACAATAGTGGAGAAGTGGAGGCGAATTGATTGTTGGGGTTCCAGTCTAACGGTCGGATCCTTCGAATGTTGTAACCAACCCCGCTCTAAAGTATGGGGTCAAGGGAGGGAGCCGCAAATTTAGTCACCCCACAGAATGGAGAAGTGGCTTGGAGATACCCGGGAAATGCTTACGGCAGTGTTGGTAAGAAGTGACGATACCAATGAGAGACTAGAAGTATCGAAGCTAAGACCTCTTGTAGCTAGGTAGGTGGCTCAGGTAGGCATAGCCCATGACAATAATGAGGACACAAGGAAAGAAGGACATGAGGGAAATAGGGAAACACTAAGACCGAGTCTTTCACAAAAGGTCGTGTGTGACCTTGCCGGCTCCTAGGAAACCCTCATCCATCCACTTTCCGGCAACTTTTCCGGTACTTTACAGACTTTATCAACGATTCAATTATGCACACGGAACTGACCTTGCTGGCAAGAATGCATCCGTGCCATATGAAGCAATCCATCTCATCATTTATCTGTTCGATACATCTCATTTGTCTCGTATCTTACGTGCTATTCCTAACGATCAGGAAAAGGACGCTCGGAGCATTCATTAGTTGTTACATCAACAAAATTTACCCCTCACTTAGCGTCCCTTATACTCTAAATCTTCGCTTCACGATAACTAGACTATATGTTGCTCCGAACTCCCCGAGCGAATGAAGGGGTATCGTTATTGCATCGTAAATTTTGCCAAAATACCATTTTCCAAAAAATTGCATGTATGAATGTCATCGGCCCCCGTATCTGATCTTTTTGATCGCCTCCCAAATAAATTTATGGTTTCTCGTGAAGCAGTGTGGAAATTCTTCAATTGTCCGGAATCAAACAGGCTGTGGTTGCGCATTGCTTCCCATATTTTCTACTCGTCAAAGGCTGCGGGATCAATCCCGCTCTTGTCAGGTTTTGGAAGTGCCACTCGGGAGCAGATTCCGTCTTCCATGTCCAGAAAACCCAGCCTGAGTGAGCTTCATATGCATCGAGTTGTGCTTCCATGAAGTATGCCAGATTCACTTTGTCGACTTCAAGTAGTCCGTCAACCGTCCCAACATCCTTCGTCTGGCAAGATCCATACCATGCAGGGCTCCCAGGATATGATCCATCGTATCGAGAACCAACATCAAAGCCATTCAACCATTTTGCACAGTCTGTTTGTGCTCCACTGAATTCGCCAACAATTGTCCATTTGTCTGCATTCGCCAAGTTTCCGATTTGACTGCAAGCAACCTGAACATGTTGACAAGGCTTCATGGCGACCTCGGCAAAGGAAAAGATTTGATAGATATGGGTGTCGAGAATGATATCATTGACCCCAGATTGGTAATTCATGAAACCATTCCATGAAGGTGGAGAAAGAAAGGCGTCATGAATGACAACCGCGGTATCAGGATTCGCGTTTCTCACGTTTCCCCAACCGTCATAGTAAAATTGCTTAACTGCTCCCATGTCAAGAGCCCAGTTCGCTGGTTCATTGAGAAGCTCGATCCCAGTCACAACGTCTGTCGCTGGAGCATAACGGTAGGCCAGAGTTTGGATGGCAGCCAGTGTTTGCTTGGTAGTATTTCCTTGAGTCCAAGTGACAGGTCCTTTCCGTCCAGAGTTATCGAACCTGTGAATTCTATTAGCTTTTTGATACCATTATTGACACTATTTTATCAATCAACGAACCCATTTTGACTTCCTGGCGCTGTGCAAAGGTTAGCGAACATCTTCATCCAAACATGCAATGTGTCTCACCCCCGTGAACATCCAGAATGACTTTCAATCCTGCCTGTCTCGCCCAACCAATAGCTTTGTCCAAGTAGGTCAACTGTCCCTGGACATAAGGATCCCCAGGCAACGGATTCAAAGCCCAATATCCAATTGGTATACGGACATGATTCAAGCCTACACTTGCAATCTCATTAAAATCATTCTGCGTGATCCAACTTGCCCAATGCGCGTTCAATAGATTTTGTGAAGCAGATTTCCCAAGTGTTTGAGTCAGGGTGTACCTAGCATGGGTACGGTGTCAGTCAATCTATACTGGTGATCATTGTTGTGAGATACGCACTCATCCACCCAAGATCCATAGAATAAAGAAGGAGTAATCCAGGGCTCCAGCACAAACCATCCTCCCAGATTGACGCCGCGAACCTTACTGCCATTGTAATCGAAACTCAACCCCTTCTTCTTGAGTCTATATACGTGTTAGTGAACACTTATTGTAGGGTTATTGTGAGATAGTTCTCACAAGGGTGTAGCTTCAGTCATTAGCAGACATGCCGCAATGATGAGGTTTCTGAAAGACGATACCATTTTAGCCAAGCTTCCAGACGTTTTATAGAAAATTTCTAGAACGTATCCTGATGTAGTGGGGAAGTCAATGTATATGTATTCTAGGGGACGCTGAAAGGAAACTGTAAAGGAAGAGGCTCAGAGATGCTCCAGTGATTTGAAAGAAGCATTCATCCATCCAATTTCGGGAGGTGCTCCCAGATACTTATTTTCCTGCAAAGAAGGAGCAAACATGGCTAGTACGACTGTACCATCTGAAACCTTGAACAAAATGGAAAGGAAAGACAAGAACTGTGGCTGTAAACATACACAGTGTTTGTAAACATGGCAATTCACAGAAATCTCATGAGCCAAGCTGCATGACATGTATCGGGTGATCGCACGAAGCCAGCTTTTCGGAAAACGCATGCTTGACAGGCTCAGGCTAGGTAGTCTTTCTCTCGGGCCCCACAACCAGTAGAGAAAGACATTTACATGAGACTTCAACGTTGTCTGTAAAGGTTGTGGTGGAAGTGAAATCGAGATAAGTAATAGTGCAACATACAAAATAGGGGTGCATTTATGGAATTGCCGCTTTCAGCCATCTCAAAATTTAGAGACAAATATCGACGTTCTTAAAATTAGGCTTGGCTAATTTCTGACTGCTAAAATCTCGCCGAAAGGCATCAAAACTATACCTTGAACCTAATTCGATAGTAGATAATTTCGATTTGGTTCTGAAGCTCAAAGTTTCAGAATAACTGTAATAGCGCTGATAAGAAGAGTACTTCTTGGATGCTAGGCCAGATGCGCAAACAAGAAATCCTAAAGCAGCCTTGGATATTTGTCCCGAATAATGTCGGTACATCACCTGTGTTGACATAACATGCTGCAGCTAATATATCTGTCGAACGAAGATTGAAAATCTTCGGAACCTTTGCGTTTCCTGGTTGTCAATAGAGATGAGAAGACCTTGCTTTGTGTTGTTCCATACAAAGTCATGATTTCAGCTATTCTTACTCACGTGTAATATACGACTTATTGACTCTTTTTAATAGGTCGTGGTATGTTAAGCGACATAAAAGGTATCATAATTGAGAGGCAGGTAGTTCCACGAGGACAATTCTGAATTTTTTGTGTGAAGTTCTTACCTGATCGACTCGGGCCTATTTGATCCATTTGGATAATTTCTTAGAGATATGATCACGTCGGAGAATAAGCGGGTGATACACATCGGTTTGCGCATCGTACACTTATTGGTCTTCCCGTTAATGCGAATTTAATTAGTGCTTATAAGCAGCCAATGCCGATTACGCCCGGAATTCGAAGATGCCCAGCCAAAAAATCAATATCAAGTTGCAGTAACTTCTTGTCGAGGCTTGTAGTGTGCCATGCTTCAGAGTTCGTGGATAGATTCCCTTGAATTGTGGCAGCCAGCCACAATCATGAAGAGTTTAAGCTTTCAGGGTCAAGCAGTTCATGAGATATCAAAAAGGCGGGGTGCAGTGAGAGAAGGCTCTGATGATCCATCTTCATGCACATCAGATCCAAAGTATGCCATTAATCGTGGCAAAGGCTCTGACGTCGCCGAATAGTATCACATCTCTTACATGAAATCAAGGAATCGATCCAAAGTAGAGCAGACTCATGGACAGATCTTCAGGTCATAAGGGACAAGAGATAAGATCTATCGAAACATGTAAGTATCCGAATATCTTCAACAATCGCGGACTTCATCATCCGATCCTTCGACCGACTTCGGACCTCGGAAATGGCACTGTAACTCATACCTATGGTTGCGATTCACATGATGGCCTACGCATGTAGAACGTTGTGTACTTTTGTAAAGTACAGCTTTGCGCACGACATTCTGTTGAGCATCCGAAATCAATCCGTCATCGAGGATTATAACACTCCAAAAAGTATCCCAAAACAAACATATGTCAAAATAAACTTCACGTGATATAAATGCACGCCATTGAACACGTCTCCTTCCATTAAAATCTAGCAGAGCCCTGATTCTGGTTTCTCTCGAGCTACTGTCGTGTGCATTTCTCCTGCTCTAACTTCCGTTCTCGTTCCAACTACGCTTTTTCTGCATGATGGATGGATCGAGAAATGGCTGAGGAATTGCCGATCCGTTGAATTCCACAACTGTGAAACATAAGTAAGCTATGAGTATAAGACCATAGTAAAGAGTTAAGAGAGATCACCTCTAGCGCTTTCACTCTTTGTACGTATCACCTCATTTCTAAGTCTAAGAGGTTCGGTATAGAATAACGCCGATGGATTTGGTCGGGGTGGACGCGGTGTGCCTTTGAGTAAGGGACGTTTTGAATCAGACATGATCGTGAGATGACTGGTAATACTGAGTTTTAAGGAGATGCTCTGGTTATTCTTAAGCAGAGATGAAATAACTTCGTTTGTTGAGGGGGTTCGATGCAATTCCAACGATGAATGCTCTAGATTGAATGCACGGTATAAATTCGCCACTAGTCATTATCTGGACTAGCTGTTTTATATGGCGCTACGAAAGGGAAGAATGGCAATTACGACCACCTGGTGGACAGTAGGATCCAATGAAACAAAAATTTAATTGTACGGTATATGATGAATGAAGTTCTTTGTATTCCTACTCTGATGACAAGAGCTTAAATAATGGCTCACGTGGAACAGTCCTCTTCACTCAGCTTAGGCACAGTATCATGAGCCAATTGTTGGTGATCTTCATCGCAAATACTAAATCAACGATCCATTCATATAATCTACCTCTATTGTTTACATCACAATATACGCCCTTTTCCATAATTGCCTTGTTTCCATCAGATTATAAAACAACCCCTAAAAGCTCAAATCTCCTATTTCTGCTTCCAATTCTTTCAGCTTTCCTTCATCCCAGCTTCTCTCCACCTCATTTGGTACTGCCACACTCTCATATACACTTCCTAGCCCATTTAATAACTCTCCAAAACCACCTCCATTCGCCAAAACATATGCTCTCGCATATACGGTTTCAAAGCCAACCTTGAACTTGGTTCCCGCAGGTACAAATGTGGTTTCTCCTGCTAGGGCTATTACCTCCTCTCCTCCAATTGTCAACTTGAGCGCGCCATCTACTGTATATATAGCATGATGTGTGTCTGCAAACCTAACTTCTTTGCTGAATGCTTTGGATGCATGTATGGAACTTCCTAAGATGTCATAGATAGAGAATCTGTCGTTTGTTTCCTCTCTCCTACACATAGCTCTTACTACTGTGCCACCGATGACCGTCTTTTCTCCTTCTCCCTCCTTGAGGAAGTATCCTCCATTCTTACATTTTCCAGGTAACTTATTTTCAGTACCATTCCATGGCTGTGGATCGAAACTTTTCTTCTCACGCACTGGAATCATATCGAATTTCTCAGTTGCAGCCATAAGTTTTGGAATCAAAACTTCAAAAGGATTGCGATTGTCGTTTGTGGGGAACAGGGGACCAGAGTATGGTTCACCAATGAAGCGGAAGAATTCTTCCTAGCCACCTGGAATGATTAGGCCTAAGAACTCGGTGTGAGAAGAAGCAACTTGATATTGATGGACAGTTCCATGAGAAGAGACGAGATCAGCATTTGTAACATATAAGTAGTATATCCCGTCTCAGTGATCTCTCATCTTAGCTTGTTCTCTAGCACTTTTTTGAATCTTAAGAGCAAGTTGAGGGGATTTAGAAGAGTGATGCAACAAAGCTATATCTACACAAGCTCACTGTATCCCGAAGCCCCACCACAGAGACTGCAAATTCAAACTTCATTCACAATATCTACTTACCGGTGGCGCGCTGGCAAAATCACCTGGACCCATACTTCTCGCTTCATCATTTGCCCATACATTCCGCACACCCTTCACGCACAAAAATACATCATGAGCCTCCTTGTGACAATGGAATCCAATTGGCCTATCCTTAGTTCCGCCGGTTTCCACAACCGCGAAAGCATTATCCATTTCGTTTCCAGTAACGAGTAACCTCATAGTGGAATTGGAGGTTGGGATCGTCCATAGTTCACCAGTGAAACAAGGAAGGACGTAGGGCGTTGCTTCTCCGGGAGGAGTAGTGAGATGGGGGACTGGCGCCACTATTGAAGGACAAATATTGATTAATTCCTGTGGGATTTCGGGAAGACGAGAAGATGCGAAGAAAGTGAAGTTTTTCCGAAAAGAACTGACATGATTTGGAACAAAAAAAGACGGGAAATGGTGAGAAAGTATTCTGTCTCGTCCACAAGCTTCATTTGCAGAGCTACTATGAATTCTAGTGGTGCGTCCGCACCGTCCACTATTTCCATGTGGAGGCTGCTCCTCCCCCACAATCTCAGGTTCGTGGGGATTCTTCCCCAAATTTCTAAGGATACAAGCCTCTCAGGGGATATTCCAATTGTCCGAAATTGTCCGATTCCACTTTCGCTTTTTAGATCCGAGCAGCACCGAGTGCTGTTCTATGAGATCCTCATCTGTGGATAGTGAACGTGGGATGGAGCCGTAAATGCATACGTATTAGTGGGTAAGCTGTGTATGTGGACGGTAAAGCTCGTGCTCGTCTACGTAGCGATGGTGAAGTGGAATTCCGCTCTTGAAGATATAAGTGGTTTGTAGAAAGTACTTCAAATCATCTATCGATACATACACACGTATCCTTCTCCTTATCTGCAAAGCTTGAAAGATCTGGTATCTTGAAGAATACGAAATTCGTTTCACAGCGCCATTGATTCCTTGATCAGTTCTACGCCCGTCATCACATCACAACCACAACCATGGAAGCACTCAAGAACCTCTCCCTCACAACCAGCACCTCCATAATGGAAATCATCTTCCCTACCGTCAACATCCTGGGCCCCCATCTCCAAAAGAACCGCAACTCCATCCTCTCTGTTCCCCGCAGCACTCACACATATGGTTCTCATCCCCGCCAAACCCTCGATCTCTACCCCTCTAGCACCGCCTCTAGTACCTCTCCCATCCTCATCTTCTTCTACGGCGGTGGACTCACTCGCGGTGACAAAATTCTCGAGGTCCCAATCCTCGATAAACTCGTTTATCACAACTTGGGGTCTTTCTTCTCCAAACAAGGAATCACAACTATAATTCCCGATTATCGTCGTGTGGATGGCGAGACAGGTGGTGAAGGGGCTATCTACCCCAGTGGAGGTGAAGATGTATCGGCCGTTCTCCATTGGCTTTCCAAAACCGATCTGTTGGACGGCAAAGGAAATAAAAAAGACGTACATCTGATGGGGAATTCAGCTGGTGGACTCCACATTGCTACATATCTCCTCGAACCCCGCTTTCTCGAGGAGAGAACATTATGGCAGGGAGAGGCCAATCTGTCATTGAAAGGGGCGGTAGAGGTAGGAGTACCGTTTAGTTTTGAGGAGGCGTTGGCTGGTCGTAAAGATACGCTAGATAAATATTATGGAAGTGATAAGGATGTTCTTACGAAATGTCCTTATGGATTATTAAAAGCGGTAGGAGAAAGTAAGAAATCGAGACAGGAATTGGGTATTCCGAAATTGTTAATTATGAATTCAGAGTATGATCCTGTGGACGAGATTTTAAAACCCAATGATGCTTTTGTGAAGCTAGGAGAGGAAATATGGGAGGAGAAAATTGAGGTCATTAAGATTGAAGGTCATAATCACATTAGTCCGCCGATGGCCCTCAGTACTGGTGAAGGAGAGGAATGGGGCGAGCAGGCGGCAGCATGGATTAAAGGAAAGGCTTAGATTCTTGACAAAAGAGACACATCCATCTATCTCATCATACATTATTCTTCAAGCCTCCAACATCAGATGTGAAACATTTCCGAAATATGTTATTTGAAAGGTGAATTGACAATTGTTTGAAGATACGTTCGCGCATATGACAACCTTTTCGAGTCAATTGATTTCTAGGGTATCCGTTTCCAGCCTGCCAAACGCCAAAACAACGACCATTCCCTAAGCTTCAAAACTATCGTTCAGATATCTCACAAACGTCTCCTTAACCCTCTCCACGGTCACCGGATTCGTCCTCTGCAAACTTATAAATTGTCTCCTTAGCCGCTGCAATGCCGGCAGTCCCACCGGATCTCCAGGTAACTCCACCACCAGTTCCTCCCCTTTCGAATTCTCGCCAACACTGATTTCTCCTCCTCCCTCGCCTGGGTGGTCTTGACTCCATTCCAAAATCCGATTGAGAACCGTTTGGGTCGTCCTATCTAATTCGTATAGGAACCCCTCACTACTATGAACCTTTGCTACTGTCGCTGCATTTGGCCTGACAATCTTCCTCTTTCCTTCTGATTCATCCCCGATTATAGCATCCCAAATGGCGTCTCCTGGTACGTTTTCATCTTCCCATACGACTGTGAATAACTGAGAGTCCCAGCGTACCATCGCATTTGGTTCCTCGTATCTGAATACTAGATTCTCCCAATTATCCTGTTCATATGGTTTATCCTCTTCCTTGATCTCCGCAGATTGTTCCGAAGGTGAAAGATTTCTTCGTTCCAACCGTGCTTCATTAAGCTCCTTAGCTCTATCAGCAGGAACTCCAACATGCATAACACAGCATCCAGTCCTCATAGCTTTTGCTTCGCAGAATAATTGATACCTCCACCCTTTAATGTAATTCCCTCCGTCCAGTATTACCACATCTTTATTACTTAACACTCTCTTCACCGCACCATATATTGTAGCTCGAGCATCTTTCTCGCTAGCATTATTCGATCGCTCATTAGCGGATTTGGATTCAAGATTATACACTTCGCGGGAAATGGCAAGAGTGTGGTCAGAGATAAGATGGACACGGAGGGAGGAAGAAGGACTGCTGGGAGGAAGCGAAGATATTTTTGCGAGGAAGTATTCGCGAAGTTGGGAAGCCCGGTAGGTTTTACCGGAGGTAGGGTAGCCGGTCAGTATTATGAGCTACATCGAGGATATAGTGTCAGCATTTCCGGATAAACATTAACGGAAAAGCATTGAAAGGGCCTACTCACTGGCATGGTGGATGATGTATGATGATGGAATGCTAGGTTTGTGCGAGTGGAAAATATTCTCGGTACCGGTACTGTATCATCATGGACGTAGACTAGATAAGAGATGATCACGTGTCGATAAGACTACCCCTCCATCGATAATGCCTACTGCGGGGTTGTTGGAAAGCATGACGCTCGCCATAATGCACAAGTTCAAGCTCAATATGCGATCATCAGACGTGATTTCTCAAAATATTATGCATCCTGAAGTCAAAGTCATTCTAGAGGATAGGTATCACTCAAAGGCATCACAAAACGCATCCAATTGTCTTAAAGCTATTTTCTCGGTTTCGTTCCCTCTCAATTGTTCATGGTCTGCTCGAAGCACTTCCTATAATGCGCGAAGAAATGAGATGGTTATCATTACTTCCCACCATTCAAGCGGCATTTTTCGCATGAAGTACTCCCGCTTGATCATTCTCGTCACTTCTTAGTCTACGTCTACTGTTGCTCGACCGCATATCAAATATTTGAATTGGTTCTCGTAGTGTCTTAATATTGGCGTCTACTCGTGTCGGTCCACCACCCCATTCTTGCATGTTCGGATATTCGCTTGAGGCGGTACAATGTGATTAGAATCGTAGCAGCTGAGGACCGAACGTTGTGTTTTGATTTGGCAAGACTCATGGATTGATGATAGCTGACACGGAACACAGGTCATTCGGCCTTGATCCAACACGATGGCATTTTCCAACGAAACTATAGGCTGACGACTCAAGTGAGAGTTCACTGTTTGAATGTTACCGTCGCGCGTTTTTCTGGAGGTCTGGTTTGTTGAAGCTTTCTTTGAATATTACACGAAACTTCAGCGAAAAGCACACAGTCACTGACTCACTGCATTTGGTATCATGCCAATGAGGGGGTAGCTGCGCCTGTGCATTCATTGCGTGATATTCCGCGTTCGGGATTCTGCAGATTAGTTGGATCTAATCAATCTACTCGCTTGCGATATCTGAAATGTGAGAGAGTGGAGTCTAGAGCACCTCATACTCGGTCAGTACCACACAACATGCAATGGGGTTGAGGTGAGATTTAGCACTGGTGCGTGGCTTCAAGGCTTCTCCGAAAGCTCCTAATTCTTTCAGGTACTTTTGTGACACTCACTAACTTGGCTATAGAAGTTGTAGTTTCTTCAGCCGTTTGGGAATCTCGAATCTTACACGATAGATATAATATTATTTGATATGGACCACACGGATGACACAGCAACAGCTTCCTACAGATGCTAAGTGGAAGATCGGATATGTTTTTCTTCCTCTGCAATGATCAGAAAGCTTTTTGGGAAGAATAGCCTGAATAGGCGTCAAATGCACACGGCAGCAAACCTCGGACCGTAGTAAGCAACATCCTTGAAATCATTTATGCCGAACCTTGCTTGTGTTACCGTGATTTTGAGTCGCTGTGGCAGAAGACGCACGAAGTAGTGGAACATAGGAGGACAATAACCAAAAGCTCCGGAATCTGGCGGTTTAAACTTGTAGCTCCATCAACATTACACATAGCCGAAAACGTTTGATCTTCCAGTTGCTGTCGAATTTTATAAAGGGTTTGAAAATTGTACAGTAGACCAGCATGAAAGTGGATTATTTCAAGTGGCAGGCCCCAAAAATCGCGCAGAGACAATTGAAAATTTGCACCCGCCCTTGTTCAATTGAAAAAGGTCTCTATCTTTGAGCCTTAACCGCCTCCACCGCAAAGTTGATGTTATCATGTCATACAAAGTAGGGACCGCGAAAGAGGACCGCACAAGAAAGACTCATCGTGTGTTCGCAAACTAAGGCCCCTTGATGCTGGATCTGTAAGTAATGAAGGCGTTGCAAACCATTCTTGTGTGGACTCTCTATGGTGTGATGAAACCCGAGTACTACAGACCAGCAGCGAATACGTATATCAAAAATCGATGTGACCGTGATAGCTTCATATTTGACCCATGTTCATATGTGCAGGTATGAATTGCTTGTAGGCCTGCACTTGTGCAGCTGGAAGGAAGTTTTCGATTGGCTAGGTAAATGAAACTATTGATGATACGGCCCATACGGGGCGACAACTTGCAGGAGGGAGCTGGGGGAATTGATAGATTATATACCAATCAATTTTGGAATCAACCACACAGAAACCAGCGCATCAAAGAACGAAGCTTGCTGAGAAAGCTACCCCATTTCTCCTTCGGGTGGATGGTACATTTGATTGATGTGACTCGTCACTCATGAGAGAAAGCTACCTTGACACTGTGCGCATCTTCATGCTTATCATACTTCGTACTGTATGCTGCACGGTACTCATGCTTCTTCTGAATGCAAAGTGATGGATGTACTACTCTCGCTACTCTCGCGCTACTGGACAGAGTACGAAGAAGAAAGGAATTATGGAAATTACGGAATGCATGATGAATTCATCATTTTCAATCTCGTTGGATTTAGAGTTTCGGACCCCTGAATGATCTCGCGTTGAAGTGGTTCTTTGGAGGAAAAGATCTTCAATTTAATCAAACGAAAACCCTTCAGCACATGGCTTTCAGACATTGATAGACAAGTTGAAGTGCGCGTAATGTACTCCGTATTCCATTGATTTCCATGTGTTTCAGCGTAGAATGCCACCAAAATACCAACAATTGACTTGATCCCCATGGGCTTTTCGGAATTTCCCTCGATTTTCTCCTTTTTCGGTCTCCTCCCCTCCCCTTCTCAGAGAAGGAATGCCGAGATTGTTGTCAATCCCTAGGCAATGTTACCTTCTTATTTTTGACGCTTGATAATCAGTTCCAACTTTTGATAAGGCTGGGGAGAGGAGACATGGACCTATTGTGGGAGAGAGACTCCGTACTGTTTGATTATCATGATACACAACTTTTTCGTAACTTGAGTTCGTGTCGAATGAATGAGGGTTAATCGGTCAATAACCCTGAATCTGCATAATCTTTTCGGGAAGCTGGAGAGTTTGAGAGAAATTGAACGGGAAGTGGATTTCTTTCCCTCCCGTGATAAGGATTGCAGTCCTGCTAAGAGCTTCGTTTTTACTGAATGTGGCTTGGTTTCCTCATATTTCATTTGCAAAAAGTTTAAAAAGACACTTGAATACCACAGTTTCTTGGTACTCAAGTAATTATGCAATGCACCTTTCCTGGAATTCATCACATTTCAATATTCCTTTAACAGGAGGTAGGTCGACGTCGTCATTCCATTTCCTAGGTATCCTTGAGCAAGCACGGAAAGTTACTTTGAAGTTTGGTCGTGACTTCATATAGTTCTTAGGCTAAATGCGTATCGTATAGTCAATCTGCTGCAGTTTCCATTCATTCCATCCATACAAAACCCGGTCAAGAGAGGGGTCATCAAGTCAATCATCCAAATGGTCCATGTTCATTTCGAGATAAATAGAATCAGTGCCAGGATTGATTACAGGGCAGAATCCTATTTGAATATCCAAAGAACAAGGTATAATTCTCCTATGAGTCGTGAAGGGTGACCCATCGCCCTCACCCAACCAGTGATATCGAGTGGTGGCTAATTCAAACGAGGCAAGCAATTTTTGAAAAGAGACAACGCATCAATGTCTCACATGGCAGGAATATCCTCGTCGACAAATCGATCACCCTGGTTCTTTCACACACATCTCATTAATGTCAAATATCCTTGGTTTTTGTGCGCTTCGTGCGTTTCTGACCTTGTCTCCTCATTTTGGTTACCATTGAAAAGCATAAGTGCCCAACCTCCCCACCTTGGACGAAGTCTTCTTTTCTTTCCATTCTCATTCATCCTTTACCTTGTTCACATCTCAGTCAGCCTCTTTCTCTGTCACTCAGGTCCATACATTCACAACCCCCTACTCCAGTTCTTGTATATTGCGGATCTTCCCCCGAAAAGCTGCCCAACTTGTGTCTGCTTTCTCTTCTATTGCAAACATACCCAACAGAGATCATCCAGCCGGATTGTTCTTATCACCAACATCAGTTATCTTTTCCTGCTCGTACCATAAGACCGTGGCCATAAGAGTAGTATCTTCAACACATAGTTCCTCAACATCTTCGACAAAGCACATTGCCGTTGCTTCAAAAAGAATCCCAAATGACTTGCACGGAGACCTTGACCCTTCTCCCGGAAACCATGGCAGGCTTCGACACACAATCACATTCCAGGAAGGCATCCGCCAGGTATATTGTTTTTTTCTATTTGCGTGTTTTTGCGTTGCTTTGCGTTGAGTCTGCGTTTGCTTTTACTGCTAGAATCCCGGATGTCTTTATGTTCCCAGAAAAATCATGTACTTTTTGTTTCGCAACACAACATTTCCAATGATACCGGACTTTCCAAGGATTTTTCCAGGCACACATCCAGCTGTCCCGAGCTTCCCAGGAACCCATGGGATTTTCGATGGTCTTACCGTGTACCCACACGACGAGAGCAAGTTCTACCTCTTCGGAGGTTTCAAGAGCACTCTGAGAAACAAAAATATGAACTTTTAATCACGAGACCTCCGGTCTCAGGTGAGTATACCGACTTCAATTGGACCTCAGACTGCAATTTCTCTTTATATAAACCGGAAGGAGCCGAATATCCAATGGATCCCAAACACCTGATTTCTTTCATGGTTACCTGTTAGCCGTTTATATCCGAAGCCAAAGGCCCAATCCCTCGAAGTTCCGAGATGTGGGCTTGCATGTCCTGCGAGCGCATCGAAACACCTCAATTCATCAACAAAAACTCGAACTTATCTTCCAGGGCCAACCATGTGCTACAGGATAACATGGCGACAACCATCCATCTAGCAAGCGAGCGGTGGTTTCTACATGCGCTTCCTTGCATAGGACTCCCACAACAACTTCTTAGCAAGTCGGTTTCAACATCGTTCACCACAATGGACACCATGGATCCCTTTTCCTTTTCTAAAAGCCGCACATGGTACCAACTCCTGAGCCGACACTCCAAGGAACCACAATGGAAGGGACTGGCTGTTCCAGCCGGTTACCGTGCTCTATTAAGCACCAGGCATTAATTATGCCACTGAGTACGTAACCTACTCAATGTTGACTACAAGTCTTACAACAATCCCCTCATAATACGATCGAGTATCCACTAACAGTACTGTTGTTTTCGTTGAGCAGAAGGATTCAAATTCATCAAAAGATCACATGGATACAACAACGTACCAAGGAAGGCCAACTGATGGATGCCAAGGATTCCGAGGATATATCACCTTATCTCATTTGCTTATATTTATTGCCCTGGATATCCAGTCTATCTCCCTGGCTACATATCACCGTCAATTTCCACCGGCTCTGATGCATACACCACGACATATTCCACCTGGTCTGTAGATTTCCCCCCTTGACAAATGAGAGCTTCGAAACTAACGTCTTGCTGCAGGTACTTCACTGGATGCTGTTGTTTTGCTTCACTTTTTTTGGTGTCTCTGTTTTGCTGCAATTGTAAATGTTCTATCAGTATATGTAAATCATACTAACCTAGATGTTGTGTAGCGGTTTTCACTCAAGAACCCCATTCCAAGGAACAACCGGATTTTCTTTGCGTCATACAGAACCTACCAAGGGACAATACAGTGGATTATCCTGGAACGGAAAGAGTGAGGGATTACAGTACTCACCCCGTGAATCTACTTCCCAAGGACCCAATGGATTTTCTGATTCTTCTCTCTATATCCCAGTGGCTCATATGACAAGTCAACGGTGGCCCGCCGATTTGACTTCAGGTCTTGAGTCAGAGGAAATGGCCCGCTTTCCATCCAAGGATTCATCAAGGACAACTCAGTCAACATCAACAACTGAGTCTATGCCAATGGGATACTTACCCAATGTCTCTCAATATCAAATGACATCTGCAAGATCAGATAACACAGGTAGATCAGCTAGTCCAGCCAACACTCTTCTGTATACCCCTACAGCACAATTTGATTTTCAATCTGCATTCGACACTTTCCACTACCCAGGAGGAGATGAATCAGCCGGAAATGATTACCAAGTACCAGTTACCAGTGGATTCCAGCAGCCGCCAACTTTGTCGTTGACAACAGGAGGATTTGACATGTTTTCCAGCGCCCATGGACTACCTACAAGTATGACAGCAGCTCCAAGCTCTATTTCCAGTTATGTTCACATCGCACAAGATTCAGTTTTCTTCGACAGCCCTGTCTTGGGATCTCCAGATATGTGGGAGACTGCTTTACTTGAATCTTCTAAACCACACACACCTATTGCCGAGGATTCGTGGGCTCTGCCACCACAAATGATGTCTTCGACAAATAGCCCATTGGACTACTCCCCAACCGAAGGCCGATCACCAAGGTATGTTCAAGGCCTTCCAGATTTCGTGGATTCACCTCCTTACAAGATCGGCGACAGGACTATAAGGAAGCCAATGGGACCCAGAGCTTCCAAAGTAGCTAGTGACACGAATTCTAGACGTGTCCTTGGAACTGAGACAGAGGAGTCCTTCAAGTTGATGGGACGTTCCAGTCTCGATGCTGATAACTCGGCACGTGATCATCATTTGTACCACAATGTAACGACTCAATCCGATGGATTATACCACTGCCCGTGGGAAGGAAACGCATCATGCCAACACAAGCCAGAAAAGCTTAAGTGCAACTACGAGTAGGATCATAAACCCCTTTTAAGCCCTTACAACAAGCTAATCATTTCACGCTACAGCAAATTTGTCGACTCTCACCTGAAGCCATACCGTTGCAAGATCGCTGCATGTGCAGACAACAAATTTTCCTCCACAGCATGCTTACTCCGCCACGAGAGAGAAGCCCACGCCATGCACGGACATGGAGATAAGCCCTTCCTCTGCAAGTATGACGGATGCGAGCGCGGCGTCGCTGGCAATGGCTTTCCCCGTCGCTGGAATCTTTATGACCACATGAAGCGCGTACACAACGACCCATGCACATCCAGGAGTGCCGGTGGTTCCCCACCACCTACTGAGAAGCCAGCCACTGGCTCCAAGAAGCGTAAGCAGGATGCCATCACGGAACCAAGTGCCGTGGATAAGGAACCAGTCAAGAGAGTCAAATCTCCAGTTGTTAACCAGCAACCATCCTTGATTGAAATCTACCACCAAAGTGAACAGCGACTCCAGGAGGCTGTGAAGCAATTGCATGATCCCAAGAGTGCAAACGGAATGACCAACTTGAGAAATGCCAGTGACTGCATCAAGATGATGGCACAGACTCTTCAAAAGATTAATCAGGCATCTCCAGCCATGAGCCGTACCTTCAGCCATGGATCCATGGGTTGAGTGGATTATTCACTTTAATACAATGAGAATTGTTGTAAGTGAACCTTGTATTCTTATCTACTTCCATTGGACTTCTTAATTAACATTTCTTCCTTAGCTACCTACGACGAGTTATGTCCACAGTGATATTTTCCCCGCAAGGATGCCAACAAAGCGGATCCAGCCCGCTCAGGAAATTCCGTCAGGAAATCTCCCGGACATTACAATATTCGACGGAATGGAAAGTCATGGAGCCAGTCATGCATACATACCCCAGAATTGAGGAGCCAGCCACAAGGATCCTTTCTTTATGCCAGTGCCAGGAATTAGTGTCTCGGAGTCGACAGTACCAGTCTGTCTCTTTGAACTACATTAACAAAATATTACAAACCCTGGATTTTGCATGCTTTTCATCGAATAAATAGATGTCAATCTACGAGGCTAGGTTGCCGATAGAAGAATTGAGAGAAGTACGTACCATGGGGAAGGGGAGGGGTCATATCAGAGATGAAAAGTAAAAAAGTGGCATTTTTTATTTTGGGGTTTTGATTATAGGACTTGTTCGATAGACTCGTCTTGGTTTGGGAGGTATGGATAGGTATAAAAGCTTTATAGCAAACACAGCAGGCCAACTGGCATCTTTTGGAAAGGACTTGGGAGGATAGATACCACTGGGATTTGGGAACTTGAAGGAGGACCTTTGAAATTTAGATAGATACCTAGGAGTTTTGGCGGATTGTATTGGACAATATCGGATAAAGGAATGGGAATGAAAGTTATGTTTTATAGATTTGATTGTGCTATGGGATAGTGTACTAGATAGTTAGAAGGAGCTTGGATCAGTGATTATCCCGCCCGGATAGTGAAGAGGGTGTATAGAAAATAGGATCTGTAGTACCCATCCGTATATACATAAGGAAATGAACATTACATTTCAGAATTCAAGCAGTAGCCCTTCCCAATTCCTGTTTGTGATATATCTGCGCTAGCCACATAATGAAGAATGGCAAGCTGAACACAGTCTTCGTGGATTCCAACCCCTTATGTTCGTATCGGGATCGATGGAGTCGCCTAAAATATGAGACTGCCCTTTTCATCCATTCTTACCATGATCAAATCACCTTGACTCCAGTCCAACCTGAAAAAAAACCCACCTTTTCATCCCAAAACTCCTCACGAAACCCTTCTTCAAAAAATCTATTCCTAAACCCCCAAAGTCACCACTTCCCATCCCATCCCTCGAAATCCACCCTGCAAGCTCGAATCCCCATTCTCATCCCCATCACTACCCAGATTTTCCGCTGCGGAAAATTCGGCAATTCGGCTATCTTATTCAACCTTATCTACAACCTTCTCTTGCGAGAAGAGTCGACATCGCCACTTGATGAACACGCCGAGATATTCAGGTCTCGTGGGGTATGAACTAGTGACTGCGCGCGTTTGTAATTCGTTGTGAGAGCTTGAGGTTTCTGGGACACAACCATTGGCGCAGTGTTAGGGGAGTTGTGGAGCGATTTGATTTTGCGGGAGGTTTTGGGGGGTTTAGTCGCTTGTGCGGAGGATGTTGAGTTTCTAAAGAAAGGGTACGGGGAGAAGGGGAGTTGGAGGGTGATGCGTGGAGATGTAGTGAGTGGGTTAGACAGAGGGGGTGTTGAGAGGAGAGGAGATTAGTTAGCGGAGATATTGGGGAAATAGCAACTGCATTGAAAGCGAGCAGTAGAATTACTAAAAACTAGCTTTCATTCTCGCGCCCCTTAGAGATGTGATTCTGTTTTCCTACTAAAATCCTATTTTCAAAAATGAAATGAAAAGTGGAGCTCTGGCTTCATTTCTCGGTTTTATGGCGGAATCTTCATCAGCTCAAAATGCAGTGTGCAAGTTCTCTTAGAAGAACGGTAGTTTAATCAATATTGTTTGTTAGTGGCATTGACATATTATAATATAGTTCCTTCGTATCTTATGACACCCTAACCTAAGAACGTGTAATTTCGAGCATCAGAATATCAACAAAGTTGTAGTCTTACTTTCCACCTGACCTTTGCGTTACACAGTTTCATCCATGGATACACATTGAATAGAATACTTTGTTCGGAGCTCTTTTATGGTATAGGTAGGGAGGTGCACTTATATTCAGTTTTTAGGCGAAAAAGAAGCTGGCATACTCGACCATGAGGGATTGAAATAGAACATTGAAGTGTATTTAAATCATGCCTTATGTGCAGGGTTCAGTCAGGAAGTGGCGACGAAATGCAATCTCCAATATCTACAAGATCAGAGATCAGGTAGTCATTGAAAGAAGGCCATCAAAGCTATTGTGGAAACGCAGATGAATGGTCCATTTCCCCGTGTATGGTGGACGGGATACTGGTGTGACGAGAAAAGTCTGGTTATGCGAGTTTCTGATTACAAGAGATACAGAGCGATGCCTCGTTAAATCTCGATATCTCACTGTCTTTTGGGAATCTGCTCTCTTGCGTATGTATACTCGAGTACACAGTCTGTCAAAAATTATCCTGCTTAAACTGTATCGCTTACACTCACTTTGCACAAGTTAACGATTTCTATAGCGCGTCTAAAGCCCAGGAAGACCATCCAGAAACAGCATAAATAACAGTGTCAAATGGATAAGGCGGATCATCCTCATGCAGGAAATCAAATCAGTGTGCTACCATCTCAAACGTTATTGGTTTTATCTCCAAGTGTTGGTCTGCATATAGCCCTTTAGGCTATGCTTCCACAGCATGCTTGAAGGATGGTTGGTCTCCTAAGAGTTCGAAAAATAGAATTAGATTCCAATGTGATGCGAAAATGGTAAACTCAAAGATGGCTAATTGTGGTAACAAACATTTATTGTGAAACTTTGCCTTGCTCATATTTATACCGTCCTTTTCCTGTCCTATATTATCATTCTATCGGCGTGCTGATACCTGTTCTATAATATGTATTTCACATCAACTGATGTGTATTAACCATATCGCGAATAGAAAGGCTGCAAAGGTATTTGTTTTTTCAAAAATCAATACGTTTTGACTATAGTTCGTCAATCATATATAGGTATGTAAATGGAATTTGCTATATCGTCCTCGGATATGCGGTAAATGCCAATGACCTAAAACCTTCTAATTCGAGTAGAAAAACCCTAAAAGTAAGGTTGAGTTTACAAGTAAATCTTTGAAAAATAAACAAATCGCGCCCAGTACATAAATGAAGTGGTATGTCTCGGGGGTATAAGAATTGCCACTACAAATAAACGATCAGAGGGACTACTGTATAATCAACTAGATTGGCGTAAACGGCGACAAGGCAGATACCTACTTGGTATTGATTTTAGCATCTTCGGGAGAGGCTACCGATCAAAATGGAGATGCAAAAGTACATAAGAAATTCCAAATATCAGATGTTATTGAATCGTCGCGATGATTGCCCTCATGCATGCGTTGTAATCATTGATGGTTTGCGAACTTACGGATGTAATCTTATACTTCGGCAAATTCTCAAATTGGAAGCCCGAAAACAGATTAATTTTCCCCCGTTGTGTCTCCGAATTGTCGCCCTGAATTCTGTTTTCGGGATGTGTAAGACTTGAAAGAATATCAAGGCCTCAAGCTTGACAATTCCATCATAAAGCGAGGAAAAATTTCACTGACAAGGAAAGATTTTGCTCATGCTTATTCATGCTGACTGGGAAGGAAGATGCCATTTTCGAGCTTGTAACTTATAAACATAGATGGACATTCCGCAAAATATTACGGTTCAGTCTTCGTTACAACTTGCCAGCACTGCATATAGTTTCTCTCAAATAAATCATAACCACGAGTACTCCCTCACGATACCCTCTTCAAAGCAAAAGTCTGACTCTAGTAACATAGTCAGAGTATCGATGGAGATTGCAACTTAGGTCAAGCGAAATTCGTGAGTATCACCAATCTCGTGGATATCTGGCCTATTGATTGATACTATCTTAGAGAGGTTGTTAAAACACATCAGGCAAACCCCACCTGAGCCAAACTTGAGGCTACAGGAAGTGAGCCACCACGTGTCAGGATTGGTAAGTCATGATTTGAATGACCTTTATTTCCCTTTATACGTTGACAGAAACATTAGTGACTTACTTGGGCCCAAGTCTTGTGCCATAAAGGTTACTGATTATCCAACTTGAAGGTATAGTAACGATTGCTCAATTCAAAACACTTATCTAATCCTCTATTGATGGGGCGAGGGTTATAGGAAATGGTGGAAGCCACATCGACCAAGCCTTAAAAGACACGGTGACATCGCACCAGATGCTTTTCTACAATTTGATGGAAATCACGGTGATACACCATACATGTTTATCTTTCTCGTCAACCTGAAACACAGTTCAACTAACTGGATTCCAGACTGTGAAACTACCCATTTCATAAATGAGGACATTTGTGATTCTCTCAAAGCTCGTATGTCAATAAAGCATTATCATGAGATTAATGATATATCATTCGGTGCAATTGACGAGTATGAAGTCTTCTCCTAAGCTCACATTTCAAGCTAATAAACATCTAGTATCAAACAGTTGGTAATCAATGATATCGCCGTACCTCGCTAGAATTCGTATATACGAAGAAAACTGGCCGAAAAAACACTCAGACTCAGACATGATCTCAGACACGATCTCAAAAGTGGCAAGTTGGAAGTCGTAATAGTCTCAGCTAATTCCAAAATCTTGACTGTAGGTGATCTAGGATTTTGTTTCGCATCAGGACAAATTCGAGTTTGGAAAAGAGTCTATAACCAGGTGAGTTTAAACTTGACAGAGAGCGGAGTCGCGTGGGGAAGAAGGCCAGACTAGAGCGTCCAGCTCCAAGAGTTGTATAGATTGATCGTCCGAAAATAATCACTCATCACATCTTGACATGTCTAAACTGTCAGTAGTGTCAAGATACCGGTACTTCCAGATCATACTGTAAGGATATAGAGGACACTTTCGACTTAGCACTCTTGGTGAGAGAGTTTCTCTTGTGATGATTGGTTTGTATAGGCAAAATCATTTCCTCGTGTAGACTAAAGTTACTTGGTCGTCCGTTGGATGGATAGTTCGTATTTTCCTGCGTTCCATATAAGATCCACAGCTCCGGATTTCTGAATTTCGTAAATGTCGTTTAGCTGCACCAACAGCATGTGCTACTTGGATCGATGCATCCCCTGAAGCTCGCGACGATCCTCAGTCTTGTGAGATTTGAGATTGGGAAAACGTAATGAGAATGCCACTTCATTCATATTTCTGACGTTTACTGTGCCTCGAGACTGCCACAGACCACATTGCCGCTTAGCAAGAAGAACAAAAAGATCAGCTCTGCTGCCTGAAATTGATTGTAGAGATGAGATAAAAAGATCTGATTAGATCTGAGGAAGAAATTCTTGTCTAACGCGTGACTGATTGATTAGATTTATTGATTAGATATCGGTTATAACTGAATACACCCTTTTCACTCAACTTTCTCAAGGGTAGGTTGATGCAAGAATTTGGCTCAATTCTCGTTTAGATGCTTCACTTAATTAGTGTGGTTTATAATGAAACATTAAACAATCTAAACAGAAAGTCAAAATGAATGAATAGAAAGTGTTCTGTGCAGCATCTGGCATGTTCACTTGACGACATCTCTGATGGTTCGAGGAGGTCTCCTTCTTTCTGGAAGACTTGTTTCGAATGACTGTGATGGGTTGGGCGATGAGTCTCGCTACCATGATTTTCGATCTCCTTGATATGGTTGAGCTTCCCATAGCTGAAAACATTTCCAATAATTGCAAGTAAAGAGGTCTCGGGGGCGAAGAACCACAACCGCTTCAATCGCCCCCACTAAAACTTTTATCAGATCTTACCCCTGTCGGGTGACCTCCAACTTTCCCCATTTTCGTGATCCCTATAAGGAAACCTTGCCCGTTGTAGTGAAGAAAAAAAACATGACTGCCATGCTTTGATGTGAGATTATACTCTCATAGGTGTATCATTAATAAAATATACCCAAAATGGCGGACTAAGTCATGTGAATCCAGCCAGATACTGATAAGTCCAGCCCGTTAATTGATTGCTAAAGCGACTTCATTTGCAGCCCAAGTCGTATTTTTCGGGTAGCTCTTGATAACGTTACGTTACCTACCCTCCCAGGTATAAAGCAGGAAGAGGGAAGGCCTATTTACATCGATGTACGTAATCATTCAAAGAATGACATTGGCAATGGATAGGTGTATTTCTACGCCCAAATCACAACTGAGTACGCTGTAAAGTTCTGCCGATCAACCTTCGAGTCTTCGAGTCTTCCTGGCTTCTAACTTCTAAGGTACCTTTCGCCGTTTACCGGTAAGTCGGTAAGTGTCGAAATACTTTACCGAGAAAAGGAAAAGAATAAGAGTGTAGCACCAATTGATGTAAGAACGCGAATGTCATGAACAACATACCGAGTAGCTGGAGTGAATGCATGAATAGGTAGTTGAATGAATCAATCAGTAGCTTCGTTCGCCACTTCCTTGATCAATCTAATCAGATGGAGCCTGAGGAGATTTTAAAGTTATCAGATCCGTAGATGAAGAGAATCCTGGCTGGCCGGACTATACTTACTACTCTAGTAACATAGTTTGTCAGGGTAGCAATTAACGTGGATCTAATCAACCAATCATAACTTCAGTCCTGTATATTTGTGTAAAAAATCTTCTCCTCGTTCTATCATCTGATTGGATATCACTAGACTTATATTGATAGTGGGTCTTTACCTTCTTGTGTAGCAGAATGGAGCCATTTGCTATGATTCCACCAAAAAGAATGCTATCTGTATGGCTACCAGGCTGTACCCCTCCCCATAATTCTGGTTGTGGGATCACGGAAGCTCCGATTTTACTGCCATACGATAGTCACACGGGGGTGTACAACAATAATGCAACTGCTGATTTCCGAACTCGAAGGAATGGCACGGAGACCAAGTGACGCTAGGAGCAATAAGTAGGTATGCACACCGTAAGCTAGCTTTATATATGTTGTACTTGTAGCTCAAAGATCTTCATCTTCATCTTCCTCTTCCTCTTCATATCTCGATTGATACTCGACCATCAAATCTTTATCCAAGCAATAACCACCGCATATCTCTATATACCAACCCACGTTGACTGGGCAGAGGGATATCGACACTAGTATTCATCACAACATGGGTTTCAGACCATGGAGAACGAAGACTGACGGCTTGGCCTCTGAGGTTGCCATCGGTCCTGAGATGACAGCTTATCCTGACGGTCTCGATCATAAGAATGATGGCCTCAACACAGTCGTCAACGATCCAGCAAGTTCGGTAGATGATAGACCAATAGAGGATGCTCAGCATGGTGTACAAGCAGTCGAAGCTGTTACTTTGATTTGGACTAAAAACCAATTGTATTTGGCATACGCATTGTGAGTTACTGATGATCTTGATGAATTCTACATTATCTGAACAAGCCTCTAACACGAAATAGCATTTTCCTCGTTTTCTTCGTGATCTCTATGCAACAACAAATCCAGAACAACCTTTCGGTCTACGTTACTTCTTCTTTCATCCTCTTGCCTTTGACTGCTACCACCAGTATCGTATCAAGCATTGTTGGCGGTGTCTTCAGACTTCCAATTGCTAAGTTTGTTGATTTGATTGGTCGTGCCGAAGGATTTGCAATCATGACCGGTTTCGCTACAATAGGTATTATCCCCCACCTTTCCGTGTAACAACAATTCTTGGCTACGTACGATGTATCTAATCATGTATAGGTCTGATTATGATGGCTGCGTGCAAAAATGTAGAAACCTATGCAGCTGCACAAGTAAGTGACGAGTCTAGTCCTCTCTCGACTCATGATTACTAACAAAAATAGGTATTTTATTGGTTGGGATTCGATGGTATGATGTACGTCCTCGATGTCTTCATGGCCGATACGTCAAGTCTGAAGAATCGTGCCCTGGTTTTCGCTTTCTCGACAACTCCATATATTGTAACAACATGGATTGGACCTCCTGCTGCGTCGTCATTCCTCAAGACAAGTGGATGGCCTTGGGCCTTCGGTGCTTTTGCAATCATCACTCCCGTGATCTGTGTCCCGATTCTTTCGCTTTTATGGGTAAATCAAGGTAAAGCGAAGAAAGCAGGCTTAATCAAGAAGATTGATAGTGGTCGCACATGGACTGAGAGTATCAAATACTATTTCTGGGAATTCGACGGTAAGCCTATTTCAATCTCACGCATGTTGACTCTCGTCTAAATATTATGCAGTAATTGGTCTCCTCCTCGTCTCCGCTGGCTTTGTCCTCTTCCTCCTTCCTTTCTCCCTCGCCTCCTACCAAAAGGAAGGCTGGCACTCCGCAATAATCATCGCCATGCTCGTCATTGGAATATTATGTCTCATCGCTTTCGCTTTCTTCGAACGCTACGCCGGCCGTAAATCCTTCATTCCTTTCGAGCTTCTCACTGACCGCACCGTCGTCGGCGCCTGCCTCTGCGCTGCTTTCTTCTTCATCTCCTTCTACTGCTGGGACTCTTACTTTTACAACTATCTCCAAGCAGTCCATAATCTCAGCGTCACCCACACTGGCTATGTTACCAACATATATTCCATCGGTTCTTGTTTCTGGGCTGTAGTCATCTCCTATGCCATCCGTGTCACCGGCCGTTTTAGGTGGCTCGCGCTCTACTTTGCAATTCCTCTTCAAACTTTGGGTGTAGGTCTCATGATCCATTTCCGCCAGCCAGATCAACCCATCGGATATGTCATCATGTGTCAAATTTTCATCGCCTTCTCTGGTGGAACCATCTCTATCTGTGAACAAATGGCTGTTATGGCCGCTGCACCACACAAAGGCGTTGCATCTATGTTAGCACTCATTGGTCTCTTCAGTTCTGTTGGAGGCGCTATCGGTGTAGCAATCTCAGGAGCAATCTACACCAATAAATTCCCCGCAGCATTAGCACAGAAAATCAGCGACCCAGAACTGGCAGCTCAATTATACGGAAGTCTGACTGTCCAATTGCAGTATCCTGTAGGCAGTGTGGAGAGGGATGCAGTCTGGTTTGCATATGGAGAGAGTATGAAGTGGTTGGCTGTTGCCGGAGTAGTATTCTTGATACCCTGTTTCGTATTTGTGGGCATGTGGCGAGACTACAAGGTCGATGAGATCAAGCAAGTTAAGGGAACTGTTGCTTAGAGGAAAGGGAATTCTACCTTTCTAGTCATGAGAGGAGATGACTTTATTTGATGAGAAAAAATGGGGTTTGCACGGTCGTGCCCTGTCTGATATATCCGTTATGTTATAGTGCTTAATGTTGATGGAAATTGAGAGAACAGAAGGTTGGAATGGGAAACGTAAAATGGGTCATTCGCGACGTTAATGAAATTTAATTATAAAGCTATTTTACATACCTACTTATACATCGTAATTCTGTTATCGATTTGTCCAAGATATCATTATCAATTCCTTTCAGCTTGGTCTCTGACGTGGCTACTCTTTAAGAGTATCCCGTTGCATGCCAAGAGGAATTCCAATATTGGATAATAATCTCCCAAGGCCAGGCATCCGTTTCTTCAGTGACAACGAATATTTCCATACGAGGTAATTCATGAACCTTACCCATTTCTAGAAAATTTCCTGTCATAAATGTCGCTTTTGATGACTGCTTACTCCCCTCGAGACGGGAAGTACTGCAATTTTATCCATTTCTACTTGTGGGCTGATTGATCATCTGAGCCACAAATTGTGTCTTAGTATGTAGGAGAATATCAGACAACTTTTCAGATGAAGCTCAAACTCATAGAAATGTATATATGAATTGAATTTTTCCGGAGTTGGATTCTCCTAGTTACCAGTCCTTTCTTCTTTGCTTTGGTGTACTCTCCACACCAGAGTCTGCCTGAACTGAGGAATCTTGAGAACTTTCTACCCCCACAAAATCCACGAGACGACCTGCCCTCTCATTATACAAGATCCCCAAAGTCACTCTCATCTTAGCTTATCATGTACTTCCTCTCTCTATCCCTCATACTCCTCACCATTCATACCCAAATCTCTCGCGCCGAAACCACATGCACCGATTTCAGATTTCTAGTATACATCGACTACACCCAATACCAATTCGGCTATCTCCCTTTCAACGACAACTACGACGTAGCGACATATATTCAAGACATCAATCGTCGCGACGCCGACAAGAATTTCCATCCCATCTCAGGCAGTATTCCCGGAAATGGAACTTTTCGTTTCTCGGGAACATATTGCGAGCCAGCGAATGCAACTACGTTATTAGTTGCAACGCATGGATTGAATTCTGATAGAACGTGAGCTTGCTTTATTGACTGTGAAGAATGATAGAGTTATTTGTTGACTTGATTAGTTATTGGGATATACAATATCAACCCGAAAAATACAATTTCGCAAATTATGTAGTTGGGAAGGGATACTCGTTTCTGTCCTATGATCTTTTAGGGGCAGGTCGTTCTCAAGTGTACGTACACACACTTTCCCCTCCTTCGAGTGGTTTTCCCATCACGAGAAATATTCAAGAAACTCCAAGACGAAATAAGAATTGATAACACTCACATCAGATAGAATAAGCGGCTACACCCTCCAACTCCCCATGCACGTTGCCATACTCGAGAAAATCCTCACCAAAATCCGCGAAAACTCTCTTTTCCCAAAATCGGTCGAACATACTGTGCCCAAGAAAATCGTTCCCATAGGTTTTAATATAGGTTCCCTCCTTACTAATGCAGTTATAGCCAAGAATGCTTCTCTGGTCGATGCGGCAATCCTGACTGGAGTCGGCTACAAAGCCAGCGTTGCCAGCTTCATCGCCTCTCTCTTCTCGAGCTGGAATGGAAAGATTGCAAGTACGGTGGATAAGAAATGGGAGGATTCGGGATATGACTCGGGGTATTTAGATCAAGATGATAAGTTTGTGATTTGGAAATTGTAAGGAAGATCATTACTTATGAATCTGTTCCCATCTTCGTTCGTGGAAGAATTGAGGGGGTTAAGATCAAGAAATGCTTACGAGAATTCCATCTAGGCTCTATAGGAAAGGATACTACGATACGAATCTTACAGATTCATACAGCACGGAACATCGATATCCACAAGCTATAATGGAAAGTGCGACGGTGCCTCTAGTCAATCTAAATGCGAAAGCTTTCAAAAGCCCGGTGTTGGTCATGGCGTATGTCCCCTTTCCTTTTATCGTTCCCTAAACGACTTTAATCATCCTTCACGATTGTAGACTAATTCTTTTCAATTCAAAGTGGCGAAAACGATTATATAAACTGCGGTGGCAACTGTCAAGGCATTCTGGGACCGTCGGCTAGAGAAGCATTTCCTAACTCGAAAGGATTTCAGAGTTATATTCAGCCAGGTGCAGCTCACAGTTTGAATTTAGCTGTAAGTTCTCGTCGTTTCTGTAACCTGATTGTGTAGTTGAATTCCGTAGCTGTGGAAGACCTCATGATCTAAATGTTGAGGATGTGTTGATCATATTGACTGACATTTGCCTAATAACAGTATAATGCAACAGGGGGTTATCAGGTTATTGTAGATTTTCTGAAGAAGAATGGGTTCTAAATGAAGGATTGTAAGAAGCCTCTGGTCGTGAAATCGTTACTAGCTGCTGTATATGCAAATTTCTCTTCAAATAACACAAAGATATCACGCTTCTTACCCCACTCGAGAATTGTCTCGGGGTATGATGGGTATTGTCATTCAAACACTTTTTCGTCTTCGGCTTCTACGCATTCTTGTGAGCGACATTGAAGATCGGAATGGAGGGTCAGTGACTCTACGAGATTTCTGTGAAGCTCACATCTAATTCTTGAAAGCGATCTAAAAAGTAATAGGAATTTCTTATCCGATTCTCAGAGCAATAGTGTGAATATTGACATAAGACATGATCGATGGCAATATTCGCACATCGCGCACCCAAGTTTGAGAATCATCATCTCGAAGTTGTCATCTCATAACCAATCATGGAAAATGATTGAAATGTGCTCGAAACCCCAACTGATTCAAATGCAGAGAGCACTTCCAATATTGGTGTCGAGTCAAGTCGTCCGCATCTCCGCGAACACAGGATAGCGCTGAAAGTATTTTTCTCCCGCATAAGTCATCAGAAAGGTATTTTCTGGTTCTATACCATAGACCAAAATGAAGCCAAGAAGGATAAGCCATAGCTAGGGAAGAGAATACCTGTTAACCATACCTCGTAACCCATTCGTACCCCCAAGCAATATCCTTTACTCTGCTACAACCGTTACCAAGGCTAATCTAAAAAGTCCAAAAACGTGTCCTCCCATACCTTGTATCACCTTTACCCTAATCGATTCTACGAGGTACCAATAGGAGCAGTTTCTAAGGCCCACCACGGCTCTTATTTCCTTCAAGCTTTCAACATGATCAATTGCCATAAGCCCAAGTGTTTCTTACCTCTTAGTCATATTTGTATGAAACCTGACGTAGGGAAACTACACGATTTAGGGGTTCATAAGGGATTGTTAGAGTAAGATTTCTGAAAATAAGCCACCAATACGTAGCAAAACCAATGAAATAGCGTTCCCCACCTCCCAGAAGAAATAAGCGATAGGGCTGCCTTCTCCTTTTGTTTCAGATGCGAGTAATCTTTCGATCCTCTCACCGATTGGTGTTACAAAGCGTAGTAAGACACAGCCTCTTATGTCTTCATGTTCAAGAACACAACTGGTAATTCTTACGCCGGTTATTACAGGCTCATTGTAGAAAGTGTTTATGGGAAACTTATTCATGAACTCGTGGAGGTCCCAGTCAGCGGATGATTATTTGATGACTAGGGTTATCATTCAAAGCGAGATCGACTTACCTACATATCTGACTCCAATTAGATACATACATGCATACTTGATGATCTCATCTCATCTCAATTTACATCAGTAGTAAAACTTCACTTGAGTCAATCTATATACTTCGATATTCGACCAATCACTTAAAGGGAAAGAAGTATGATGTTTAGTCTCGAGGATACAATGCCAGGATAAAAATCTTGTCAAAATGTCCTTCCATGTGGATAGGATCATCTTCGATGTCTATAAGGCTACATTCGGTGCACAAAGGTGGCGTATCGAGTTGGCGCATCTGCTTTACGTTTTTGTCATACCACCCTTGACCCATCCATTAATATATTGGGTGAGAACAAGGAGCCTCACTCACTTAATGCCTACACACAGCCTGACTCGACTTAGGAATCGCTGACAAGGTGTGATGAATTGCGACAATGTGGGTATCGAAAAAAGACTGAGTTGAGTTGCACTCACGTACTGAGGGATTAGCACATGGAAAGGTTTGTGTAAGTTAGGAAAGAGAGCTGCCACCGAGAAGTATAAAATGAAGAATGGTTCCCAGAAGGATCCATTCCTTGTCTTGTTCTCTATTGATTCCTGTGCAATATAGCTCGGACCTATTGTCCACTTCTTTTCGTTGATCTCGTACCTAGCCTGGTCAATTGCAATCAGTATCATCTATTGAGAATCTTTCTCTCTATCCTTGCGCCGATACATTAAAAACCCTCACAATATACACTGCATAAATATGCCTTCAGTCATGACTTCCACTATTCCAGCGGACAAACCTAACCTCGACTCAACACCTTCGCGAAGTCCAACACCCACACCACAAGATGTCGATGCCCTCGGCCAAATAGAAACACAATACGTGCTCCCGCCCCTTTGTACCCTCTCCGAAGCCGAATACATAGGCATCTTACGATCCATCGGCGCTACACGCGCAAACAACCCATCGCAACCAGTTGAAATAGCTTCTGGTTCTCTCTTCTCACATCGGCACTTGCCTAATGGCCTTTATAAAGATATTGTGCAAACACGTCAGAAGAGCCAACTGGCGTATTATTTCTCCAGTACCTTTTACAGTCTCGCATTAATCCTTCAACTCCTTTTCGGAGCTGTGTTGACTGCTCTTGGATCTTCCTCTGCCGCAAAACATGGACTTGCGATAACTATATTAGCGGCTGCTAACACAGTAAACGCCGGTTTGATAGCTTTGTTGAATAATACGGGGATACCGGACAGGTTTTTATATGATTGGAATGAATTTGAGGACGTTGAGATGTTTGTAAGGGAATTGATCGAAACAGGTTTGGTGGACACAGATAAAACGAAAGAGCAAGTAGTGGCAGGTTGCTTTGTAAGATTTCAGACGGCGAAAATGACTGTTAGGAAGAACAAACCAGCGAGCTATAATGCGACGGCAAAGGAAAGCCAGAAAGGGAGATAATTGTTACATATGTGGGTTGGAAAGATGACAATAATTTTGGTTGAGGGTTGCTTTTTTGCCGAGAGTAAGTGGGCTACTATCGAATGTCAATGGGTATATGTGTCGAATGTTTGCATTTGGTAACGTTCTTTTTAAAATAATCTAGAGTTTTCGAATGCTGCCTTGACAGGGTCATCATGGCCGATTCCAATTGCTTGAATAATGTGTACACCCAGAGTCTCCAACTTCTCATCCGGGTGCAACTCCCCTGACCTCTTGTACAACAGCTTGCTTCCTGCGACCATTAACCTGGACCATACATTCTTCGGTATAAACTCCAAATCTACAGTCCTTATCTTTCGTATTCAATGCCGGGAGGAAATCAAAAAGGTATGACAGGATGTAAAAACAGAAAACGTAGGACACGGCCCATTCGATAGCAGCACCCGCATCCCAATTCTTCGCTATGAAGACATACCAGTATGCTAGACCGAGAACACCTTCCAGAGCAATAAAAACGAGTTTCGTGTAAGCTGAAACCATCAAGTTCGCATGTGTGTCTCGATATTCTGACTTATGTCAGATTATATGATTAAAATGAAGAAAAGGGAGACATACTACATCCCATACGATAATGTTCCCAAAACTGAAAAAATGCACTGATAGTATATCCAGATATGAATAACCCCACCATTATGTTGTGTATAGTCCTATACCTCAAAACATCGAATATGCTGAGGAAGATCAAGCCCATGGATCCAACTATAGCCGATGCAATGCTCAGATAAGCTACTACTCTCTCAGTACTATCTGTATTTCTTGCGAGACGACCTTTATGACGAAGTGCACGTTCTGCAACAAAACATCCTGCGAGCAAGAAAGTGGTCAAGACACAGCCTATTACAAATATTGGCTGCATTTCTTTGGTAGCTCCGATGTCCGATACGTATGGTACTGAATGAAATTCGGAAGACATCGATGGATAAGGTGGCCGGGCTGGTACAGTAGAATTAAGATGATCGTGAGGAGGAAAGACAATAAAGGCTCCAAGCAGCGCATTGAGTGTAGTAAACCAGATGATAGCTGAGGCCGTGGGAATCATCTAGCTGTTGTCAGACATCATGTGAAGAGGAAGTTCTGCCAGAAAATCAAACCCAATATGAGAATACCTGCCACATGATGAACGAGAGGGGTATAATGTTTAGAATTATCGATACTTCAAGCAGAAGTGCAAGGAGGTATTAATGAACGAAGAGAGAAACCAAACCAAACGACTTCACATAACCCCCAACAAAAGTGAGTGTACGTGGGTTGAGTATCAATAATGGACTGTGAAGATGACCCCTTGCAATGGGAAAATACTCTACTTATAGTATTTTGAGAAGGGAATAAACGTTGAACCTAGAAAGAGCAATGAATTCCACTTGGAAGACAATCTTAGAAGGCTCGAAATCGTAGCCCATTCGCTCTTGCCTTCACGGGTCAATAGACCGGAGAACGACAATACAGAACTGGTAATCACGCAACGCACATAAACTTATATGACAAAGTTTAGTTAAGGTGAAGAGTATCTACAATCGGTAGATGAACAGCTCGCATCAAAATGACAAGAAGAGCATCAAATGTCCGAAGCCATGTTTATAAGAAAAGCTGATGATTAATCAATTGGCGCTAGGACTTCAAGATCTCAGCCTTGTCAAGCCCGAAATGTGCATCAAAGCCTTATGCTTAATCTCAGCTTAATACCCGTCGACAAAGGAAAACTTTACGATTTCAAGACTCGGAATATGCTGCGCTAGGGTTCTAAATTGCCGGCCCGAATCAATATGGCAGTTTCACCCCTCATCGTCCCATCTGCGGGCTCTGGCGAGAGAAGTGCAAGCAGATCGAAGCTCTCGAGCGCCGTCCCCAGTGGTAATGGGACACCTTCCGATGGCCCAGCTGCAAGTGCCGGCACAACTTATGATTTAGCAGAGCAGATGAACGAGAATGAGAGATCTAAATATGTCAAAGGTATCTAATCAATGGCATTACATTGTCAACTCGTAGCATGGCTAATCACTTATCGTCTCAGGCAAGAAGCTCGGAGAGGGAACTTATGCCAACGTTTATCTGGGCCACTTGAGGACCGATCCCAAGGTTCTCGTCGCTATAAAGAAGATTAAAATACAGAAAGAATACACAGAGGGGATGGCACCCGATGCCATCCGCGAATTGAAGCACCTCCAAGAAATTTCCCACCCTAATGTAATATCTCTCCTCTCAGTATTCTCTTCCAAGGACCAAAACCTGAACCTCGTCCTCGAATTTTTACCTCTCGGAGATCTCGAAATGCTGATCAAAGACGTTGACGGCGTACGGTACGGTGCGGCCGACATAAAAGCTTGGATGGGCATGCTCAGTCGAGCCATCTGGTTTTGTCACGAAAACTTCGTCCTACATCGCGATATCAAACCAAACAATTTGTTGATTGCCGCAGACGGAGAAGTCAAACTTGCAGATTTCGGTTTGGCGAGAAATTTCGCAGATCCCCAGCGAACTATGACATCGAATGTTATCACACGTTGGTATCGACCACCTGAGCTGTTATTCGGCGCCAGGCATTATTCTGGCGCCGTGGATATTTGGTCGGTGGGACTTGTATTTGCCGAAATACTTTTAAGAATTCCCTTTTTAGGTGGTGAAACTGAGGTTCATCAAGTTTCTCTAATTTGTCAAGCTATTGGCACACCAACTGAAGATAATTGGCCGGGAGTAACCAAATTACCAGAATACACAGTACCTGATCAAATAAATCCAGTAGTTCCACGAGAAAACTATCTGGGCATGTTTGGAACGGCTGGGCCAGAGGGAGTGGATTTGTTGATGAACATGTTGATACTGGATCCCAGTAAAAGAATCACGGCGAGGCAGGTTTTAGAACATCCTTGGTGGGCATCAGATCCTAAACCTACAAAGAATCAAGATCTCCCAAAGAAGAGAGGTGGCGAGGAAAAGATGGGAGAGGATCTGAAGAGGAGACCAGGACTAGTAGATGACGATCGGACGAGTAAGGTAGCGAGGAAATTGGATTTCTCTTCTATGAGGTAAAGATTTTTGGTCACCGAACATTATGCGGCGTATATTGTCATCTGGCGTCAAGGATGAGGCGTCATGGATGATTGAAAAGGGGAATTTCAGACAAAGAGGCAAGAGAGCCTGTTCGTGAAGCTTCTATCGAAAGATGAGGCCTCAATGGAGAACAGACTTGCACCTCTTGCTCTCGCAGGTAGTACTGGGTTTGAGTACAAAGAAGTTGCATTTGATGCTGCACTTGTGCTGCACTTGCTCATCTCCCAGAACCAGCTAAAAAGCGCACTGAATATACTGGAAAAGCACAAGAGTCGAAACTATATAGTCATTATAATAAGAACGAAATTTATTCAATCAAAGTCATTGGTCTCAGAGAGACACATTCATTCATATCTCATAAGGTCTCTATGTACGCAGTGCTAGTATTTTCTTTCACCCCCACTCTATATATCACATAACTCCGCATCCAATTCCATACATAGCCCTCTCGACATCTTTCTTAACCGTATACCAATCGGCCCTTCTCTCCGCAAACTCATAAACCTCCTCCGCTCTGAAGATACCCCCGAATCTATCACCATCCGCAATAACCGTCGCCATTTCCTTGGCGTGATTTGGACTGATCAAATAAATTTGGCTCAATTCCCTCAATGCTTTAAAATACTGTAGTAAGTCTGCATTCCTCAGAGTCTTGATGTAGACAAAGTATATGTTCATATCAGAGATGAGTTTGATGGCTCCAGAGGTGGAGATACGCTGGCGCTTAAGATGTTTGCAGACGGCGGTGAAGAGACGGAGTCCTACTTCTTGATTGAAGACATCGAGCATTGTTTTGTCGGTACTTCCAGTGAGCATTTTAGTATGTGATTCCACAAGAGCGACGACTTGCACAGCGGTATTAGTTGGTCCGATATCAATATCTGAGTTTGCACCAGTGGCATCGAATTCGGGTGGATTGTAATCGGTGGGAAGCTGAGTGGTACCACAAATATATTCCACTTCGTCCATTAGGACATCGATACCTTTATTCAAGCCGGCTGCGACCCTCTCATCCAGCATCTGTTCAAACTTTTTCTTGGCTTTAACGGCGGGATCAAGAAAATCGTTTCGGTCCGCAAGTTTAGTCGTTGCAAGTTGCTGTTCGAAGAAGACATCGATCATCTGGGAGATCAAGTCTCCAACATTGACAAGCTCCAGAAATGTCATTAGAGGCACCACTACACCCTGTTGGTGCTCGCTAATCTCACGAGGGTTGTATTTAGAGAGATGATCCACAGCTTTATCAAACCCTGTTTTGACGTGCCTGGTTCCAAGAATTTGCAATAATACTACGAATATTGCCTCACACTGTTCTCGAGCTTCTTCTCCCGTTTGACCTCCTAGTCTGACAAAGAGAGCCGCACGTTCAATACTCGCTTTTGCAGAGTGCGTAAGGTCTAGGGCCACTTCAATACTGAAAAGTGATCGAATTCCTTCCAACCTAGAAGCCATCAAGGCCGCTTTGGCTGCAAGCTCATCTGTTGGTGCTTCGGTTGGTAGTGGAACCGAGATTGCACCTGGTGGTAATGATGGAGTGGGTAATCGAGAAGGTACTGGTGACTGACTCGCACTAAGCACCTGCAAGCTTGATCGATTCCCTGGCTGAGGCGCTATTACGGGCTTGGTGGCACCAAATGTAGACATTGTAGGTAAAACATTGACGGGCATCATAACAACTTTTTTGAACGAGCTCATGAAATCTTTCTTATCTGCAACGCGATTGACATTGCCCATAAAGAACGATTCTTGTGAAGCATCTTGAGCCGAGAGTTTCGTCTCCCATTCTCCCACTTCTGATTCGGCATGTCTTTTAAAGTGATCAAGCTCTTCTGACAGGTAGAGATCTACGTGAGGTTCAAACACTCGCGCTATAACAGCTTTAACTTTATCGAAAAAGTCATTTCCTGAATTCCTGGTGGACCTGAGTGTAGAAGCAAATTGCATACTTTGTTCAAAGATACCAGAAACCGCTTGCAGATAAGATGCAATGCTTCGTTCGTGGGATTCATCGAATAAAGGAGTAACGTATTCCATAAGAATATCCTCTGCTATTTTATCCAAAAGGATCTGTAAAACATCTTCCCCTGGAGGAAAGACCCTATCAATTATATCTGCTTGTTCATTCACTTTCTTGGACAGCTTTTCCAGAAATGCCCTTGATGGCTCAAGTGCTATACCTTCAGAAGCTGCTTGGTTGATACAATCCATTGAGTTACCAAGAAAATCGCGGTCGGAAAATACTGGGTGTTTCTGAACGAATAACTCTATACCAGCATGCCCCCCATTTAGCACACCCAACACATGAGCATACCGCCGCATTCTACCGTCAATATCCCACACCTCGTAACCCTGCTCAAATTCTCGCAGCACTGCGGTCTCAAATATGCCTGTCATAGTAATCAACCTTTCCTCTCGTTGTCTCCAACCTTGAGCCCAATCACTCCGCGAGAACACTTGGAGTTGGGCTAGCATCTGTGCCTGTTGCTCTGGTGTTCTGTAAACTCGAAATAAAACGGGATCAACATGACTCCTAGATCTAGCCAAATCGTAGTAAAACGGTCCTAGTGCTGCATATATTTTCCCGTATTCATGCCTCGCGGACCCACGTATTGATCTGACTTCCGCAAATACATTCAACAAAGCTTCCGGATCTTGCATAGGCGTTCGAGTTCGTGGTGGGGGTGGTAGACTCATATGGCCTTGCGCCGATATCGACAACGTCTCAAATCCATCTGGTAGTCTTCTCATATTCTTCGAAGTAAATTCTGCCGATCTCCGCTGTTGTCGTAACTCCTCCTCTCCCGCATCGAACAGTGTCGTGCTAATTTTCCTCATTCCAGCAACATTCCCATTTCCTGCCCCAGCTCCGCCAACACCAACACCAATCCCGATTCTTTTAGAATCCTCTTCTGCCCTTACTCGCACCATCTCTCGCTTTTTTCTCAGTATTTCTTCAAATCTTTTCCTAGCTTCTCCTTCGTTCCACACACCCATGGATTTCAGTCTCGATACCCATCGTGAATCTTCATACACCATTTCTTGCATTCGGTTCGATGTGCGCGCAAAG